CCTCTCTCCCTTCCAATGCTGCCTGGGTAATGGTCTCCTACTTCTTTGGTGTTATGCCTTAGTCTAAAGTGGCGGGGGTTTGCCCAGGTCCCTGTCTTCCTGATGGAGGCAGGAAGTGCTTTACTGGCCCCCTCCCCTTGTTTCTGGGTCAGTCTGAGAAAGTACACTTCCAATCCTATGACTTTTGATATCTTGACTTTGCTCAACATTCAGTTAATCTTCTCCAAGTGAGGCTCTGCCAGTATGGAGGGCTAAATCGTATGCTCAAAGAAGCTAGAAGCTCTCACTTTATCCAGGGGTCTGTGTTAACAACTTCCCACTGTGCCCAAGCCCTTCTCCATCACCTCTGAGCTTCTTTGGTTTAATTCTTTACACAGGCTGTGTTGTGAAAACCATGGTCCTTGTGCTTGTGAGGCAGGCAGCAGAACCACTGAGCTAAATTCCTGGCCCCGCTTTTATTTGGATTTTTTTTCTCAGCCTTCTGAATGCTGGGATTACACTCGTGCTGGATTATAGGGGTGTGCCACCAGGCCTGGTTTGAAAATAATTTTTGGCTATGTCAGAAATGTACCTTTTTCGTAAAGATGGAGGACATCAAAATAATTTTTCACCATATCGGAAATGTACCTTTTTCTTAGAGATGCGTGTTATTTCTGCTGATCTATAAAAACCGTTTTTACTTAGGTATCTCCTGACATTCTTTTTATGGAAAGCGTTATGAAATTCTGAATACTGTGACTATATGAAAAGTGGTATATGCCATCAGCTCTTCTTATCTACTGGTTCTATACCCACACATTCAATTAATGCTGGACTGAAAATATTGAAAAAAATTTTGTCTGTAATGAAAAATGTAGACTTTTTTGTGGTCATTATTTCATAAACAACATAATCTGTATGTAGCATTCATATTTTATTAGGTATATAAGTCTTCTACAGTTGATTTAAATAAAGTACATGGCAGGATGTGGTGGGTTCTATGCAAATCTGTACCATTTACTGTAAGGGAATTGAGTGTCCATGAATTTGGGTTTCCAGGAAAGCCTTTGGAATCAATTCTCTGTGGATACTGAGAAATGACTGTAATTTATTGTTCAACCCAGTAGGCTTAAGAAAGGATAGAGTCACTGTTCATAATTATGCCAAGGTAATAGTTATAAACCACGACTGTGTCAGTCAGACAACATGTGTGACCACCTTACAGGGCAAAGACTGTATAGTTTCTCGTGACATACTCAGCTAGCTCCAAGGTTCTCGGTTTGCTTCGATTGCAGGTAATGGTCTCCTACTTCTTTGGTGTTATGCCTTAGTCTAAAGTGGCGGGGGTTTGCCCAGGTCCCTGTCTTCCTGATGGAGGCAGGAAGTGCTTTACTGGCCCCCTCCCCTTGTTTCTGGGTCAGTCTGAGAAAGTACACTTCCAATCCTATGACTTTTGATATCTTGACTTTGCTCAACATTCAGTTAATCTTCTCCAAGTGAGGCTCTGCCAGTATGGAGGGCTAAATCGTATGCTCAAAGAAGCTAGAAGCTCTCACTTTATCCAGGGGTCTGTGTTAACAACTTCCCACTGTGCCCAAGCCCTTCTCCATCACCTCTGAGCTTCTTTGGTTTAATTCTTTACACAGGCTGTGTTGTGAAAACCATGGTCCTTGTGCTTGTGAGGCAGGCAGCAGAACCACTGAGGTAAATCCCCGGCCCCGCTTTTATTTGGATTTTTTTTCTCAGCCTTCTGAATGCTGGGATTACACTCGTGCTGAATTATAGGGGTGTGCCACCAGGCCTGGTTTGAAAATAATTTTTGACCATGTCAGAAATGTACCTTTTTCGTAAAGATGGAGGACATCAAAATACTTTTTCACCATATCGGAAATGTACCTTTTTCTTAGAGATGCCTGTTATTTCTGCTGATCTATAAAAACCGTTTTTACTTAGTTATCTCCTGACATTCTTTTTATGGAAAGTGTTATGAAATTCTGAATACTGTGACTATATGAAAAGTGGTATATGCCATCAGCTCTTCTTATCTACTGGTTCTATACCCACACATTCAATTAATGCTGGACTGAAAATATTGAAAAAAATTTTGTCTGTAATGAAAAATGTAGACTTTTTTGTGGTCATTATTTCATAAACAACATAATCTGTATGTAGCATTCATATTTTATTAGGTATATAAGTCTTCTACAGTTGATTTAAATGAAGTACATGGCAGGATGTGGTGGGTTCTATGCAAATCTGTACCATTTACTGTAAGGGAATTGAGTGTCCTTGAATTTGGGTTTCCAGGAAAGCCTTTGGAATCAATTATCTGTGGATACTGAGAAATGACTGTAATTTATTGTTCAACTCAGTAGGCTTAAGAAAGGATAGAGTCACTGTTCATAATTATGCCAAGGTAATAGTTATAAACCACGACTGTGTCAGTCAGACAACATGTGTGACCACCTTACAGGGCAAAGACTGTATAGTTTCTCGTGACATACTCAGCTAGCTCCAAGGTTCTCGGTTTGCTTCGATTGCATGGCAGAGTCTTTTGTCAGAGCAGCCGACTGATGGCCATGTATGTGTACATGTTTTTACCATTCAGTGGTCAGTCATTGAGTTAACCTTGAAGTTTAACTTGTGGAAATTTTCATAATGTGACTTGCTCCAAGTTTAGCTTAGAGGGAATTTCTATAATGTGATTTAACTCAACAACTGGGTCTCACCAGCTCCAGCCTTGATATATTACTGCACTGTTTTGTGCTTTTCCAGTGAATTTCAAGCTATGTTAACCTCCCATTTTGTTCTAATGTCTCTAATGGCTGAAATTAGTGCCAATGAGCTTTGCGGTGACAGCATAAAAGGTACTGTCACATCTCTTCTTAGTAACTGTGTTATTCCAGCCAGTGCACAGTGAATTCTCAATATTTTATTTGAAAGCACTTTAAATCACCAGAGTCATTATTTGACTCTTAGAGTACACCCATTGGTGAATTTTTGACATGTGCAAGTTAAGAAAGAAATTCACATTTAAACTTAAGGCAACTCTAATTGCAAGTCTTTGTGGTTCTTCATTATTAACTACTGAACTAAATAAATAGGTCTTGGTTTGATGCTAAAGGGAGCCTTGAACAGACAGTGTCTGTGAGTCTAAAATAAGTTTGTGTCTCCGTTAAATACCCAAATGAGGGTGGATTTAGACCCACCTCCTGTTTACCTCCTGTTTTAGTCACAGCTGTATGTTCACCTCCCATTATCTTATCTGGCATGTAATAGGCACACATTAAATATTTGTTTAAAGAATGAATAAATATTCTTTTAGTTTGCTTTAAGACATGTTACATACTTTTGCTCTCAAGAATTTCATGTTAATATCTATTTACTATAATATTCTGACAATGTGTTGCGTGACAGCTTAAATATCCTTGACTTTCCATAATTATTTTTAATTTTATGTGAGAATAAAACAAAAATTTATAACAAAAGAATATGAGAATAAGAATAGTTAAAACATCATGTATCATTATCTTCACAGTAGTTACTCAAATCAATTAGTCAACATGTTCTATAATTTTATAATTTAAAGTATTAATATCACTTGTGTTACTAGTTTTTTAGTTACACAGTCTCATCCCCCTGACTCTCATATTTGCTTTTTTTCTTCGCCTGCACAGGGCAAGGAACCAGGTGATATAATCTGAACTGCCTTTTTTATTTTTCTTCATCTAAATTTTTAGCAAGGATAGTGTTTCTGTTAGTTTGGTTTCCGAATGACATCTAATGTGCTGTTTAAATAAAAGTGAGATCTGATAGAAAGTTTGATAGTTAAAAGAGTACGTCTTCCTGTGCCCGATAAGCTACATGAGATGTGCTTTCTATCCCTAAGGAGATCACCTCCAGATGAAAATACACATATATTTCATAACTTTCATATCATTAAAAAGGTAATCTTTTCTCTAGAAAAAATGTTATTATAAGATTTCAGATCAACCTATTTTAATTGCAGTTCCTACATCTGTATAATTTCCCTTATTATTTAGACATACTTTCTCAGAAATGGAAATAGATACAATAGAGAAAATTTATCTGGGAGAGGCCACAGTGACCTATTCTAATTTTTTTCTTCCTTTCATGGTATTTCTTCTCCCATCCCTCTCCTCCCCCTCCTCTTCCTTTCCCTCCCTCTTCCCCTTCCTCCTCTTCTTCTTTTAAATCTTCCTTACTTGTTAGGATACTTGTACCATCATCTCTTTCCTTTACCATAAATCAAAATATTTTTCTGGATTAATTCTGATCTTAGTAAGTTCTCCTTTAGAGTTCATTTTAATATTTTTTCTTAAATTATTTGCATTTAAACATTGCTTTTCATTTTAACACTTTCTTTGTAAATGTGATTTTAGAGTTCAGGGTGGAAATTATATTTTGCCGAGAGCAACACCAAGCTCCGTAACACACATATAAGGCCCTATGTACTTGCTCATTTGCATATTCATGGGTATGGACTAGTTTAGCTGAGTGTGGCTCAGCTGTCTATGTCTATGACAGAGCCTTTATTTTTCTTTTTAAATGTGATTGACCCTTGGTTTTATCATCTAATTAAGCATGGATGTACAAAAGCAAAGGCAAAATGTATGAAATTTATGCAGCTTCTTCACCATTTGTTTTCAGTAGTTTCAGTAAGAGCCAAAAACATATTTCTGAAAAAAATGAAAGTAGTAAAGCTCTAATTTATCTTACTTTCATGCCAGCATAATCAATAATCTCTGAATATTAAATTCTCACACTAGTACTATTTGCTGTAGGATGACATTTGATATGAAGGTTACCATGGACTTTATTTAGGGTCATTTATTTACAAAAGGGCAAAAAAGACATTATATGATGGTTTTTCCCATAGGATAATATAAGGAAAAGACTTCTGAATATACTGAGAAAACTGAGATTCACTAAGATAAAGCAAAGATGTATGAATTTTGGTTTACAGTGTACAGTGATTTCTAATAATGTTTATATTTCAGGTCAGTTGCTCCGGTTAAAAATGTTTCGAGAGGATCATGGTTCGTGGATGACAATGTTCTTCAGCACAATTCTCTTTCTCTTCATATTCTCTCACATATACAACATGATTCTTCTGATGGATGGCAACATGGGGTAGGTTATCTTTCCCCTTTCTTTTGTGATTAGTGTTGTATTTGGAACTAATAAGAATTGAACCAGAACTTTTTAGTTTGTAGTAAGTAGAAATCTCCTTTAAAAATTATTCTGCTCTAAATAGGGGTGATTTGTGTGTTTTTCTTATTTAAGGCATATCTTTTTCTAAGATACCTGTAGTGTTTTACAATACTTAGATTTTGTTTCTTATTCTTTAGGACTTTTCTATGGGGTAGTTTGAGGGAGAGAACTATTTTTGATAAAATGTGATAGTCAGGAAGCTTACTGACTTGTTTATATTCATCTAATTAGTAGAGCAAAGTTATGGTGAAAATCTCAAGGTTTGCATTTTCTTTGCTCTACCATGCCTGACTAAATAAAAAGTATTTGGATATTGCTAGCATTACTTTTTACTCTTTTGGTAGTCTTAACTGAGATTCATTGTTATAAATGGGTCATTGTAAAAGTAAGCCCCCTTGAATTAATGCAAGTTTATGATCCATACTTATCAAATAATCATAGACTGTAGATGTGTTAATATGTTTTTTTTTGGATGTGTTAATATGTAGATTTTAGATTTTTAAAATGCTTTCTCTAGATCTTCCATTATATAGTAAAATATAAGAATTGGTCTCTTAGTATAATTTCCTCTTAGTTTGCTCCAGTAAGTTTTTTAAATCTTTAATAAGTTCATTGGTACATTTTAAGTATACATTACAGTTACATTAATCATTGGGATCTTGTACCTTTACATGACTTATATTGGTTCTTATTTTTCCCCATTCCCCAGCCCTCCCTTTAGCCCTTCCACCCTTCCCAGTTTACAAAGACATTGTTTCAATGTCTTTTTTCACACCTGTTTTCTTTTCTCTTTTTCCCTTTCCCCTACCCCTCCCACTTCCTCTACTCTTTTAGACCTTTTCTTCCTATTACACTATATCAATTATACATTTTGATTCTTATTTACACTTTTAGTTTTTTGCATCAGAGAAGCTATTCGGTATGTATGCATGTGTGACATTAATTTCACACGAGAATGGTCTCAATGTGCGTCCATTTAACTACAAATATCTCTAGTTTCTCCTTCTTTATGGCTGAGTAGTACTTCATTATATATATATATATATATATATAAAACACATCTTCTTTATCCACTCTCCAGTTGATGGGAAATTGGGGCTGTTTCCAAATTTTAGCTGTTACAAACTGTGCCATTATAAATGTGGGTGAGCATATATCACTGTGATATGATTCTTTTGGGAAGATACCCAGCAGAGGGATAGCTGGGTCAAATGGGACTTCCAGTCCTAGTTGTTTAAGGTATCTCCATATTGATTTCCACAGTGATGCATTAGTCTGCGCTCCCATCACAAATGAAAAAGGTTTCCTATCTCCCCACAACCCCCCTGCCAGCATTTGTTATTGGTTGATTTATTGATATCAGCTATTCTTACTGGGATGAGATGGAATCTCGGTGTTGTTTTCATTTGCATCTCGTGAATGACTAGTGATGTTGAACATTTTTTAATGTTTATTAGCTGTTTTTACTTCTTTGTCTGAGAAATGTCTATTCATTTCAGATGCCCATTTTTGAATTGGGTCTTTATATTGTGGGGGCTGATTTTATTGAGTTCTTTATATATTCTAGATAGTAGACCTTTGTCTGAGGAATAGCTGGTAAAATTTTTTTCCCACATTGTGGGTTGTCTGCTTGTGATTTCTCTGGCAGTGCAGAAACTTTTTAAAAAGATGAGATCCCAATTGTTGATTCTTTTTGCTAGTTTCTGTGCTATTGAGGATTTATTTATAAAGTCTTTTGCTATGCCAGTATCTCTAAGAGTTCTACATAACTTATCTTCCAGCAAGTTTAGTGTTTTTGTTTTAATGTTTATATCTTTAATCCACTTGGATTTTAGTTTAGTGCATAGTGAAAGGTAAAGGTCTAGTTTTAATCTTTGGCAGGTTGAAGTCAAGTTTTTCGAACACCATTTAATAAAGAGGCTATCTTTCCTCCAGTGAGGATCGTTGGCTTCTTTGTCAAAGATGAGGTAGCTGAGTATTTCTGGAGTTGTTTCTGCATCTTCTAATCCATTCCACTGATCCTCGGGTCTGTTTCTTTGCTAGTACATGCTGTTTTTATCACAATGGCTTTGTAGTATAGTTTCAAGTTGGGGATTGTGATACCCTCTACCATGTATCTGTTGCCTAGGATGGCTTTTGCTATTCTAGGTCTCTTCTGATTCCAAATGAATTTTTATATGGTTTTCTCTAGTTCTGTGAAATATACTGTTGGGATTTCAAATAGAGATTGCATTGAATCTATATAGCAGTTGTGGAAGTATGGCCATTTTCACAGTATTGATTCTTCCTACCGAGGAATAAGGAATGTCTTCCATTTTCTTATATCCTCTTCAATCTCTTTTTTCAGAGTGTTGTAGCTCTCAATGTAGAGTTCATTTGTTTTCTTCATTAGATTGATTCCTAGACATTTCATTTTTTTGGGATGCTACTGTGAAGGGGATTATTTGTTTACAAGAAGGCTATTGATTTTTGAGTATTTATCTTGTATCCAGCTACGTTACTGTCTGCTCTCAAATAAGTTTTGGAGGAAGTGTATAAGGAGATTGACTAAGCCTACAGCATTAAAAAATAGATCAGTGATTGGAGCCGGGCGTGGTGGCACACTTCTGTAATCCCAGCACTTGGGAGGCTGAGGCAGGAGGATTGCTGTGAGTTCGAGACCAGACTGGGCTACACAGTGAGTTCTAGGTCAGTCTCAACTACATAGTGAGACCCTGTGTCAAATAACACCCCCCCCAAAAAAATAAATCAGTGGTAGTAGTAACTACCTTAGGTATTTGTTGTGCAGTGAAATAGTTACTAAGGAAGGCTTTGATCTACTTTGTCCAATAGATGGGAAAGCTAGGTAATAACCTTTTCTTGTAGGTGTTAGATGAAGCAAGATTGTTGTCCCATTCTATAGAGTGCAGTTGTTTTGATGTTAGATACAGATTTTTGGCCACCAGTATTCAATCCTGAGAGGAAAGCTTATTTAAAATTTTATTTGTATTATTTTTTCACTCATTAAAGAAGATGAATAGTAAATGAAAGCAGATATTTCACAAGGTTTATACTTTAGTCCATAAGAATAAAGTGGTAAATTTGAGAATGCAATTTTTAGATCAAATGCTCAGGCCTTAGAAAGTTATCAAAATGCTTTGTAATTATTTTTTATATTTAGAGTGATGTAATTAATACTGGGTCTGTTTTTAGATGGTGGAGGTACAGACTCTAACCTGGGTCTACTCAAAATATATCTCAGTCTTTGAACCTGTAGTAACCAAATAGGTAATGCCTGGAGTAATCTAAAATAACCAAGGGCCTCTCTTGGAGGTTTTGTACTATCAGTGAAGTGGGAGAAGAAGAAGAAGAAGAAGAAGAAGAAGAGGAGGAGGAGGAGGA